AACGAGAGTGTGCGAGAGAAGCAAGAGACAATGCAAGAGAATTAAGGGAGAAGCACAAACACGAGATGAAGATGAAGAGTACAGATCTTTCTCAATACCTCGAACTAGAGCTTGGTACCAAATGCAAAAAGACGAGATTGTGGCTTCATATAAAGTTGCACCAAGTTCAACTCCGGGAGGATCCACTTATAGCCCCAATGGCGACTCTTATGCGCCTGACCTGTAATCTGTTGCATTTAATTAAGTAGTTTGATTTATGAGAAATGTATTGCTTTATTTTGAATGTATTGCCTTAACTAGTTTGATTTAAGGTTAATGTATGTTTTCTTTCAATTGTAATTCGTCATTCAGTAATGCAAGGACTTTCTTTATTAAAAATATAGGAAGTACTTAACAATTAGCTTAGGGAATACACAGAAAATATAAAGAACAAAGCAATACATCAAAGGTAATACATAAATAAAAAATAGGCAACACATTCCTAAAAATAGGAAATACATCAAGAAAACAATACTACTCTCCTCCATGTCTTGTCCAGAGATGCTCAACCAAATCATTTCTCAGTGCGTGATGTCCTGGACCATCACGAATCCTCTTATGTCTTGCCATGTACTCCATTAGAGTCGGAATGTTATGGTCAGGAGGATCCCACGTGACATTTTGATTAGTCTCATATTCAACACTCTCCACAAACCCATTACTACTCTCGTTCCGTTGATCTACCACTATCATATTGTGCAGAATAATACAAGTTAACATAATCTCACCAAGTGTTTGCATATCCCATAAACGACTTGCACCTCTAAAAATAGCCCATCTTTGTTGTAGTATACCAAAGGCTCTCTCAACATCCTTACGGTAAGCCATTTGTAACTTTCCAAACAACTTCTTTTTCTGACTATTTAGATTACTAATAGTCTTCACAAATATAGCCCATCCATGGTAAATTCCATCAGCCACGTAATAACATTGGTCATACGTCCTACCATTTACCTCATAGCTGACCTTAGGGAGAATTTCTTTGGTGGCTTGATCGAAAACTGGGGATACTCCGAGAGTGTTGATGTTATTGTTTGATACACGTGTCCCAAAAAAGGCATGTCAAATCCATGTGTCATACGATGCTACAACTTCAAGGACGATGGTGGGTTTCCCCTTTCTTCCAGTGTATTGGCCTTCCCACGCAGTTGAGCAATTCCTCCACTCCCAGTGCATGCAATCAATTGAACCAACCATATCCGGAAAACCACATTGTGCACTATGATCAAGAAGGCGACGAAGATGTTCCAGTATTGGTGCACATAAGTATTGATGACCATAAATGTTAGTGATGGTAGAGCAAAATTTCCTCAGGCACTAGAGTGTGGTGCTCTCGCCCATTCGAAAGGTTTCATCCAAAGAGTCAGCTGAACATCCGTATGCAAGCATTCGAAAAGCACTAGTAAGCTTTTGGTAAGGAGAGAATGAATCACGATCTAAAGCATCTTTTCCCTGCCTGAAGTAGACATCATGTTGAACAACATCATTCATGATGCGGTTAAATAAGGCACGGGGCATCCGATATCGCCTTGTGAATGCCCCAGAGTAGTAAGTTGGGTTTGGATTGAAATAATCTTGCATCAAGCGTTTGTGACCGTCTTCCTTGTTACGCCTCACTGATTTTCCTGATGATGACCTATGACGAGATGAAGTTGCGTGTTGTTGTCGCATTTGGGTGCCATACATCATGAACATCTATGTTCTTTCACGCTCAAGCTGACACTCATACTCCCATTGACTCTCATCAGCTTCCCTTTGCCTCTCATCAACTTCCCTTTCCATCTCGTAATCTTCTGAACTAGAGGAATCCATGGAGAAAAAAGAGTTTTTTTTTGTGGCTAAAGAGATGTATGAAACTTGAATGGGTTTTCAAGACAGAAGACTAAATGGTGGATGTGTGGAATAGGGATGGCAACTTTGCCCATACCCATGGGTTTCTTACTATCCAATCCAATTGGGTTGGGTATGAAATCCAAATAGATGGATATGGGTAGAGTTTGATGGGTTTGTACCCATACCCATTTACTTTGGGTTGAGTTGGGTTTATATCAAATGGATTGGGGTTTGTACCCATGCCCAAATACAAATTACAGTTTGGTACCCAAACTTAATAGATATGCATATTTAGTAACTAAATTTAATTTTTTTGCATATAAGTCCTCAAAATATCGATGGAAAATTACGTTTTGGTACCTAAATTTTTTTGGTCTTACATTTTGGTACCTAAACTTTTCAAGTTTTGCAAATAGGTCCAATTTTTGCATGTGTAGTTAAAACACCATCAAGTAAATGGATATCCATATCCAACCCATACCCATTTAGATTAAGGAAGCCCCAAACCCAAACCCATCTATAAACCCCCAAATCCATATGCACTTCACCCATACCCAACCCATTATCAATGGGTTTAGTTGGGTTTGGGTATAATTACCCATGGGTGGGTAATTTGCCATCCCTAGTGTGGAATGATCAAATTTGAGAGTTCATTTATAGAAAAACGAAAAGATTCTTTCTACAATAATGTAGTCAAAGTTGGATAAACAGTTGATGGCATAACTCATTTTCATTAAAGTTGAACGAACAGTTGATGACACGCCTCATTCTGATTAAAGTTGAATGAACAGTTGATGGCTAAAATCATTTATGATTAAAGTTGGATGAGCAAATGATGTTACAACTTAATCTGACAAACATGTGATGAATATGAGGCCATCTGAACCAACTTTATATTTTCGTCATTGATGACGTCATCTTAAATGATTAATTTTTTTATGTCCAAATTAAAAAAATTTACATCAAAATGTTCTTCTTAATGTATTAATACTCTCTATGTAAAAATAATTTACAAATTATATAAGTAAAGTGATGGAATCTACATTAAACTAAATTATGAGAAATGTGCAACTTGGGGGCTTTGCATTCTAGCCTTTCCCATTGGAGCAAAATCACTTTTTGAAGAGCTAGAATCTAGAATGCCAAATCTAGCTCTAAAATTTGGCATGCTAGTCCAATGAATTGGAGATGGTCTAAGAAGTTCATGAGGGTATATTGGTAAAATCTCATCATAGATTTATGATATGTTCTAAATGGCACATCAGCATTTGAGATTTACAAGTTCATGAAGCCCACAATTTGGATTTCTCAAAATCCATGTACCGTACAAATTTGATAAAAAAAATAATGAAGCAAACAATACTTCGATCATGGTTCGAGTATGAATTGTAAAATTCGATAATACGCGGAAAGTAAAGAACGCAGAACACCAGATTTACGTGGTATCCCTGTTCAATGTGAACGGGACTAATCCATGGAGAGCTAAAAGCTCGCAAAGAAAAACTAATATCAGTGTCTCACTATCTTGCTTGATCGGCTACAGAGCTGTCGAGAAACATATAAAGGAAAACGAACCCTAGCTCCTTTCCAGAATAAACACGGAGCAAGGAAAAATAACATAATGGTCCCTAAAGTAATTAAAATGACTAATTACAAAATAAGGGATCTCTACAATCCCCCTCAAGCGAAGGAGTGAATGTTGAGAAGGCCGAGTTTGACGAAGGGACATCGAGGTCGCAAAGCAGCCAACATAACCAAACGATCTCACTAACTGTACTACCCATGGATCAATATTGTGCTTTAGAAGAGGAGCGTGAAACGACAGTCTACTTCTTAGTACGCGAAGAAATCGGAGAGTCACCTAGAGTGATGAAGTAGCCTATCATAGAGCGACGGGTGATTGGAAAACCACCCCAATCCGCATCAAAATAACCTTTTAAGACAAGGGGAGTCGACGCAGAGAAGAAAAGACTGCGTCCCGGAGAACCCTTGAGGTAGCGAAGAACACGTACAACAACATCCTCATGGGCTTTAGTAGGAGACTTCATGGTCTGGCTAAGAATGTTCACAACATAAGTAATGTCTGAACGCGTGACTTTCAGATAGGGAAGGCGGTCAACAAGACATTGATAGGCAGCCGAGTCCCGGGCAGGAGGCGATGGGTGCCGCCTTAAATGATGTTGCTGCTCAATAGGTATGGAATAAGGACGAGCAGCCTCTAAACCGGTGTCAGCCAGGATATCAAGAACATACTTGCGCTGGTTGAGAACACGACCTGCAGGAGACCTGTCAACTTTGATCCCAAGAAAATTTTTGAGAGGACCAAGATCTTTAATGGTGAAGCGATCATGGAGAAAATAGTTAACCTGTTGGATGAATGGCAGGTCATTACTTGTGAGAATTACGTCGTAGTCGTAAATAAGGGCGATCAAAAAGGTAGAACCACAACGATAAGTAAACAGAGCATGATCAGCACGACTCTGTACAAACTGGAACTCCAACAAGGCCTGTGTGAACTTCTGAAAACAATTACGGGAAACCTGACACAAACCTTAGATTGACTTGTGTAAACGGCAAACACAAGTATCACCACGACGAGAGAAACCTTGAGGAACAGTCATATAGAATTCCGCATCCAGGTCCCCATGAAGAAACGCATTATTCACATCCAACTGATGAATATGCCAACCACGGGTAAATGCCATAGCAAGAATGCAGCAAACCGTGACCAACTTGGCCACCAGAGCATACATATCATGATAATCCACACCTTCGACCTGAGTGAAGCCCTTGGCGGCTAACGGAGCTTTGTGGCGCTAAATGGATCCGTCGGGTCGAAACTTAATTTTAAACACCCACTTGCAAGCTATAGCATGTTTTCCCGGAGGCAAATGAACCAAGGACCACATGCCATTAGACTCCAAAGCGGTGATCCTGAGCTGCATAGCGTCTCTCCAATGCTTATACCGGACGACTTGGAAGAAATGAGCAGGCTCGTCAATGGTCGTGATAGCAGCAACAAAGGCATGGTGAGCAACTGAGAGTCGGTGATAGATAAGGTAGTCATCAAGGGGATAGAGTACCTGTGCCGAGTGAGCCGCGTCGGGAAGATGGACATCAAACCTTGCCTACCGGGTCGAAGGATGACATATAAGATCATCGTGGCGAGGGAGTTGAACTGCAGGTGAATGAATATCACTGGCTGCGGTAACAGGAGGCGATGAAGAATCGTCGGCGACGATAGCAGAAGGAGTGGAATCGACACGAGGGGAAGAAGATTCCAACTTGGAGTCTCGCTGGGTCGTAGTAGACGGAATGACGTCCTGCATGGGCGAAGGTGACGTGGCCGGTTCATGATTGGGAGAGGAGGATGCATTGTCGCGCTGGTTTTCCAAAGGAACGACGAATGTTGCATCATCATCGTCGTTTATAGGAAGAGGAGCTCGAGGCTGCAGAATGGAAACAACAGGGGGATGGAGCCGAGAGTCCTCAAAATTCTGGTACGAAAAGACATCCAGGAAATTGACGTCACGAGAAGTATATATTTGCTTCTTCTCAATATCGTAGACGCGATAACCATGGTGAGCTGAGGGATAGCCAAGGAAAATGCCATCTCGGCCCCTTTCTCCAAACTTGTGCAAGCCATGATGATTGTCACGAGCATAAACAAGGCAACCAAAACTCCAAAGATGATTATAGACGAGGTCTTTCTGAAACAGGGACTTATTTGCAATAGAAACCAGAGGCATCCTGTTGATAAGATAAGCTGCAGTGAGCATACATTCACCCCAAAATTTGATGCGTAAATTAGCATGAAACCGCAAGGCACGAGCACTGTCAAGAAGGTGTCGCTGTTTGCGTTCTAACCCCCATTCTGCCGAGGAGTTTCTATGCATGAAATCTGTAAAATTATCCCTTTCTCTGCATAGTAGTCGAGTAGCAGTGTACTAGAGAACTCAACCCCATTATCAGCTTGGATGCGGCCCACCCGACCCCCAAACTATGTGGCCACCATGTTGCAAAAGTATAATAAATGTCAGCCAACATTTGATTTGTAACGCAATAAGAAAACCCATACTGCTCGACTGAAATAGTCAACAATAGTTAAGAAACAATGCATTCCAGAAGTGGATACAGTTTTATAACTGTCTCAGATATCCACATGAATCAAATAAAAAGCATGAAGTGGACTTAGATGCTACTAGAAATAAGAGAATCCCGAGTTTGCTTAGTACACAAACAAGACAGACAAGGTTCCTTAGTTTGAACAAAAGAACGATCAAGAAATTTCTGCAACAAGTCCAGCTTCGCCACTGAGGGATGCTCGAAAGAAGATCAATGATACCAAAATGTCCTGAATCACACAGAAGTCACATAAGAAGATCAATGCTACCAGTAGATTCGTTGTAAGATGACTAACCGAGAGAAGGTTGCACTGAAAAGCAAGCACATGAAGCACACGATGCGGTAATAGATTTTTAGATAATCGTGTGGTGCCAATACTATGAACTTTAACCACTATTCCATTCGGAATTTTCAACACCTGTAAAGTCGGAGATGTATCCAACTCGGCATCCAACATAGAAACATGATTAACAATATGCTTGTTACACCCCGAGTCTATGACCTAAGTAGATGATTGTGGAGAGGAAGGAAAAGACGTACCAGCCATATTCGAAGAGGGCTCCAGCGACGAGGAGGCAGGCTGCTGCAAGTCGAATGCCAACAGCGCGTTGAGCTGCGCAAATTGACTGGCAGACAGGACTGGGAGTGGACTCTCGACCGCATCTACCTGTGCTGCCTGCGGGGAGGTTCGAGACTGTCGATCAAGTCGCGGCGACGATTTCCATCACCCTTGTCATTCCCACGATTTGGAAACCCGATGAGTCTATAACAAGTTTCCTTCACGTGGCCAAGCCGATTGCAATGGGAGCAACGGGGTATGTCATTGTCATCACGTTCAGGATGGTTGGGAGGAGATCCGGATGATGCTCCCCCTGAGTCTGAAAGGTTGTCGCTTCTGGCCGAGGAAGAAGGCTGACTCGACTCTACTGTCACTCTAGGAATTGGCCAAGTGAAACCACTTCCTAAAGCGTAGTATAGCGGGTTAGGTTTGTATGTCAACCCGGGTCCTAGATCTGATAACTACTCAGTGAATTCTTGTTATCTAGCAATGAAACTGGAATGCAAGTCTAAACTACCAAACAAACAAAGCAAGTAAACTGTTGTATTCAGGTTAAAGAGGTCACCCGGATATGGTTCCCCCTAGACTGCAGTTAAGCCGGATTGTAATTACCAAGTTCAATTTCTATGACAGTTATACTGCGGAAGGTTCTTAAACAGCCTGAAGTCTCGACTAAAGGTCTTTAGACCCTCTCAATCTGAATCTCTAGCGGGCAACTAACCTCCACCGGAGTAAACAGATTGAGGCCCTAAGAACAAAACCTCCACTACCGGAATGAATCCGGTACAGAATAGTGAGTTGGTTCCTCGACTAAAGTCACCAACTCCCTATCTTCAATCAAGGATACTCTATTAACCTAGGCAGATATTCTCATTCTAGGTTAAAGCAGAAACAACAGGAATTTGATCAGGATTCAATTCATTCAATCATTCAAGCCTCAATCGAATATAATCAATCATAGAATCAGTACTTGGGTTCATACAATCAAACCTAACATACAAATCTAGGGTTCTCCATACCCAGATGAATGGGAGAACTACTCCATGGAGAAGAAAGCAAAAGCAGAATCAGACGCGGAATTCATACTGTGAAGGATGGATTCCTGCTCCTGGATGTTGATCGGCACTTCTCCAAGCTCAAACTGGCCTCCAATGGTGATGAAGATCAAGCTAGGGCACTTGGAGACTCTTGTTCGTCACTTTCTCACTCTAGGAATCGATCTCTCTCGCTAAAACTCGAATCCCTTGATTTTCAGCCCTCTTTTCCATTAAAACAGCTGCCTGTCGCGATACCCGGTCGAAATACCCGGTCGGGTATTTTGGGTCTCGACCGGGTATTATCAAAACGCACGTTTCATGCCAGGGGAAAATCCCCGGTCTGCTCCAATAATCCTTGGTCGGGGATTTAAGCTTCACGACCGGGACCCCTTCTGTTTCTCAGACGCCAAAAAGGGAAATCCCCGGCCTCTTCAGAAAAATACCCGGCCGGGTATTTGTGGTCATGGCTGGGTATTTTCTTCCTCCAGCCCACTTCAATCCTCGTTTGCTCCTTTCGACCCGAATCTCGTTCCTTCGCCTCGATTCCAACGTCGGGTCCTGAAATATGACATAAACACACAACCTCGCGTGAAATCGGCTTAAAACCCGAGAATTAACCTTTCAAACGGCTCAAGAGTAGGGGTGAAAATACGTGTAATTATCGGTCTATCAAACTCCCCCACACTTAACCGTTTGCTTGTCCCCAAGCAAACCTAACTCAAACCAATGCAACTCTCCAGACCTCTATAGCAACAAACAACCCAGATCGTAGGTAGAGGACTTCCTAGATCATTTAGCAGCTTACGAGGTCAACCGACGCACAAGTCATCTCATAGCTTCTTCGGCGAGAACGCTAGTCTCGAGTCGGCATCATGGCAAATAGTGAACAGAGGACAAATGAAACGTGGATGAAGAGATTCTCAAAAACAAAGGACCATGGACTCACATTTTTTTCAAGGTGCTCTGTTTTCCTCTTGAAGATGGTTGGAACCCCTTTTCTTTCTGTTTTGCTTGTTTTCTGTTATTTTTTCTCTGTTTTTTTTCAAGGGTCCCAACCTGCTTTTCAGAAAAATGGGGGCTCCCACCTAGCAGAGGTTTTGCGGGAGCCCAGCTCTTACCGGCCATGCTAGGAGAGGATGTCTCGAGCCTCGTGCGGGGGAAAGACATGTAAGGGGGCTGGAGGTAGTAGGTGGAAATTGGGAACGAATTCCCGTCTCCCCTTACACACTTTCGCCCTATTCGCACGGGAGACGTTATTGTAAAGCACATTTCCGAGCACCTGTTATTTTCAAAACATGATACAAGAGTCCATGACAGGTAGAGAATCCACAACACCACACAATTCAAGGGTCCTAAGATCACTAATTCACTCAATCAACTAACACAATATGAAGAAGAAATGAGACTTCTTAAATGCATCAACATCCTCCATAGTGCTACACTACCTCCCTAGGTTGCATATTACTATACAGACTGTCAATTCAAAGCATACTGAGCAGGCAATTGCAAGGAAACACGTACTTGGAGCCCTCAAATGTAAAAATTTGGACAGTGGACTAGGCTCCAAGCACACAAACAGATCTAATGCAGTCAAAAGATAAACACCCCCCCCCCCACACTTAAGATCGACATTGCCCTCAATGGAGAAGAGGGAAGGAAAAGGGGAACGATGTTACCGGTACGCACGGACTGCAGGGGACTGGAACGGACCAGTCGGAGTGAAGCGGACTGGATAGAGGACCAGTCAAGACAAGCACAGCTAAAAGGAAACCAAAGAGCTCAACACAATACGTCAGGTCTAATGGTCAGCCCAATAGTACAGAATACAACATAAAAAGAAAGAAACCAAACCAACACAAGACAGTTTGCACACTGATAAAAACAAACACACTCAAAACAAGGCACTAGGAACCGCCTCCTAGACCGGTGAAGTCGATCTGGTTCATGAGGTCGTCGTCTCCATCATCCGGCGGCGGTGGTGGTGAATGATCCCACCGGGTGGTCCAGTGGTGCTCCTCCGGGGGGTGGCAAGCCTGGAGCAGGTGCTCAGAGTACTCCATCAGTCGGCGGCCTCGATCTCTCTCCCGCTCGATGAGAGCACCCGTGACGCCCATATGGGTCTATAAGCGGCCGAGGCGATCGTCAACAACCTGCAGCCTGGACTGGTACGCGGCATGGTGGGCCGAATACTGCTGGTAGAACTGGACCTGATGGTCCATGAGCTGCTGGTTCTGGAGACCGAGCTGCTGGAACTGGAGCCCCATCTGCTGGAACTGCTCCGTGAAGAAGTCCATCGACGGACCAGAAGGACAGGAGGAGGACTCACCTCGCTCCTGTCTCCGTCGTGGCCGAAGGTCCCCTGGCGGAGAGAGTGAGGGCTCCGGCTCATCGGCATCCATGGCCCCGCCATCATCATCCTCATCATCCTCCGCGCCAGAATAGTCAGCGTCCTCCTCATCGTCATCGAGAGCCTCATCCTCATCAGGAGGCATAGAAAGCCCATCCACCCAGGTGCGGGTGCCATCGCTGGTCAGGAGGAGTGCGTTATGGAGCACTTCCCGGCTGAGGGGGGTGGAGTCGCCCCGTGTAGAAGCATCATGGAGGCCCTGGAATCTGATGTCGAAATGCTGCGCCAAATGAGTGATCAGCGGACCACAGTAGAGGTGAGTAGGTCTCCCGTGGCACCGGGAGAAGGTGGTGGCCACGAAAGAACCCAAGTGGAGCATGTGCTCCGGGTACCCCATCGAGTACATGGCATACAGCACCCGCTTCGGAATCTTATGCGAGCCGGTGACGTTGGGGACGACGGAGCGAGTGAGGAGCAGGTTCAGGATATGCCACTGCGGCTGGAGGGTGTGGACGTATGTCTGGCCAGGATCGAAGTCGTCATGCCCATATGCACGCCTAGCTATCCGGCGGTAGAACGAGTCATGGCGCCAGTCGGTCAGGTGCGGGATCTCGACCTCGTGGCGATCGAATGGGTGGTACTCGATCCCCAAGGCATAGGCCAACCCGTCGATGGTGAGCTCCCGGGCGTGGCCGCCCAGCCGGAATGTCACTGCATACGAATCCCGGGGCGCCTTGCTGTCGTACTGGAAAGTGGTGTAAAATTCCCACACCAGCTCCGTGTAGGTGGGCTCAGCGATAGTCAGCAGCGTGCGCCAATCGGGGTGGGTGATGGCGGCGCTGAGCTCCTGCATGCAGTGGAGCTGCTCGAACACTGCCCACTCCAGATGGTGGTGGCGCTCCAATTTCCCCTGAGTCACCGCGCGGAACTGGTCCGCGTACTCCGGGTGCAGGCGCAAGTCCTGCACAAATGGATGGTCGAGAGACATGTTCCTGCAAAAGCAACAAACCAAAGGTGGAGCCAAGAAAAACTCGTCAGGACCAACAGCATGGGTTCATCACTTCCCCCACACCTAAGGACCACCTAGGCTAACAGTTCTAAGCACAGCCGGTTGAATCGCAAACAATGCGGCCGGAAACAAGGCAGGAAACACATAACCAACCACAATCAGTACACGGGCAGCACATACCCAGTATATAGAACCATGCATACTCCAAGCATCCCTCACCCTATTCTAAATCATGCAAGCAATTATAGTTCTCGGTCCTACAATCTATAGTTCGATTCTCCAGGGAAGAACAGTTAACGAGAAACACACCTGGAAACGCAAGGAGAACTGTAGCTAAGGCACAAAGAGGGGTGAGGGACGCGAGACAGAAGCCAAAAATGACCCGGGAGGCTCGCCGGAAAATGGCCGGAAAACCGCCGGAAAGTGGCCGGAAAACCGCCGGAAAGTTGACCGGCGGCGGCCGGCGGCGGAGTGCGGCGGCCGGCGGCTCGCAGAAGAGAGAGGGGAGAGGATTGGAGAGGAAGAGAGAGGGGGGAATTTGAAAAAATGAGGGTAGAGAGAGAAAATGGCCGGGGATTTGCTATATATAGCAAAAATACCCGGTCGGGTATATTTGATTCCACGACCGGGGGTTCAAAGCGCAGTGTGTCTAGGTGCAAGGGAATCCCCGGCCTTGAGCCAAAAATACCCGGTCGGGTATTTTTTGGGTCAAGGTCGGGGGTTCTGAAACGCAGCGTCGTGACTTGGGAAAAATCCCCGGCCGTGAATCAAAAATACCCGGTCGGGTATTTTTTAGATTAGGTCGGGTTTTTCCCTATTTTCACCCCGAGAAACAGAAGGGGGCCCGACCGTGAGCCAATAATACCCGGTCGGGTATTTTGGCCCATGGCCGGGTATTTGCCCCCTTCCGGCCAAAAAAACTCATTCGCCCAAATTTTCGACCTCTCCTGCACGACAGCACCAAATCGAGGCATAACAGACGACCGAACTTCACCAGAGACATGCAACTGACTCCAGATGACACAAAAACTCAGAAAAAAGGGAAAAAGAAATGCAAACCGTGGTGGGGTTGCCTCCCCACAAGCGCTTCTTTACCGTCTTTTAGCTGGACGCCAATGACGGAACTAAGGGTCAGCCAGCTCCACTGCCAACTCCGCACGTTCGACCTCGCCTCCCAGGTAGAGCTTGAGGCGATGGCCATTTACTTTAAACGGCTCAGTTTGCGGGTTGGCAATTTCAATCGTGCCATACGGGAACACCTGGGTGACCGTGAAAGGTCCAAACCACCGGGAACGGAGTTTTCCGGGAAAGAGCTTCAGGCGAAAGTTATAAAGGAGAACTCGATCACCAACCTGGAACTCTTTCGGACCCCCCAACCGTGCATCGTGCAGGCGCTTAGTGCGCTCCTTGTACAGCTTGGTGTTCTCATAGGCGTGGTAACGCCACTCTTCCAGCTCCAACATCTGCATTTTTCGCTCAACACCTGCAACACTAACATCCAGGTTTAGCAGCTTAAGGGCCCAGAAGGCCTTGTGCTCTAGCTCCACGGGCAAATGGCAAGCCTTTCCATAGACAAGCCGGTACGGTGAGGTACCAATGGGCGTCTTGTAGGCAGTGCGATATGCCCACAGAGCATCATCGAGCTTGGTTGACCAATCCTTGCGGGATAGGTTCACCGTCTTCTCCAGGATACGCTTGAGCTCCCGGTTCGTCAGCTCGGCCTGGCCACTGGTTTGAGGATGGTAGGCCACGGACACCTTATGAGTTACACCATAGCGAGACAACAATTTGTCGAACTGACCCTGGAAATGGGTGCCTCGGTCGCTTATGATGGCTCTAGGTGTCCCGAACCGGGAGAATAGCTGCTTCAAAAAATCACAAACACGTCTAGCATCATTAGTGGGCAAAGCTTGCGCCTCAGCCCACCTAGAGACGTAGTCAACAGCAACAAGGATATATGTATTACCAAAGGATGGAGGGAAGGGGCCCATAAAGTCGATACCCCAGACATCAAAAATCTCACAAGTAATAAACACATTCTGGGGCATCTCATCACGGGCAGAGATGTTACCTGACCTCTGGCATCGGTCGCACCTGCGTGCGAAGGCGTCTGCGTCCTTGAAGAGCGTGGGCCAGTAGAAGCCCGACTGGAGCACCTTCCTCGCCGTGCGGTTTCCTCCGTGGTGACCGCCAGCAGGACCTTCATGACAGTGAGATAGAATGCCCTCCATCTCACTCTCCATAACACATCGACGGATGATCCCGTCGGCTCCGATCCTGAAGAGATGAGGGTCATCCCAGAAGTAGTACTTCAGATCGGAGAAGAACTTCCTCTTGGCGTGAGTTGTCATCCCCTTGGGCAGCTGCTGGCCCACAAGATAATTTGCAAAATCAGAATACCAGGGGGTGACACTCTCCACCAGGCACATCATCATCAGTCTCTCATCTGGGAAGGAGTCATTGATCTCCTCCTCGAGGTTGTCCGCAGGGGGTGCGTCCAACCGGGAGAGGTGATCGGCAGCAACATTCTCCGCTCCCTTCTTGTCCCGAATCTCAATGTCAAACTCCTGCAGCAGTAAGATCCATCGTATGAGCCTAGGCTTGGCATCAGCCTTGCTCATCAAGTATCGAATCGCGGAGTGATCAGTATACACAGTCACATGGGACAATACCAGATAAGGACGAAATTTATCGAAGGCAAACACCACCGCGAGCAGCTCCTTCTCCGTGGTGGTGTAGTTCTCCTGGGCATCATTCAAGGTCTTCGAGGCGTAGTAGATAGGTCGGAAATGCTGATCTCGCCTCTGCCCCAACACAGCTCCAACAGCAAAGTCACTGGCATCGCACATAATCTCAAATGGCAGGGACCAGTCAGGAACAACCATGATAGGAGCTTGCGTGAGCTTCTCCTTCAAGGTCGTGAAAGCCGCTGTGCACGCATCAGTGAACTGGAAGGGGGCATCCTTCTCTAGAAGCTTAGTCAGGGGCAGAGCAATCTTCGAGAAATCCTTGATGAACCGCCTGTAGAACCCTGCATGACCAAGAAAACTCCGGATCCCCTTAACAGATGTAGGAGGAGGCAGCTTGCTGATAGTCTCGATCTTCGCTCTGTCCACCTCAATTCCCATCTTGGAGATCTTATGCCCAAGAACTATGCCTTCTCGAACCATGAAGTGACACTTCTCCCAACTCAGTGCCAGGTTCGTTTCTTCACACCGTTTAAGGACAAGCTCCAGGTTATGGAGACAGTGAGAGAATGAGTCTCCATAAACCGAGAAATCGTCCATAAACACCTCCATAATCTCGCCGACCAGACGGTCAAAGATAGCGAGCATGCATCGCTGAAAAGTAGCCGGGGCATTGCATAGCCCGAATGGGATCCTCCAGTATGCAAAGGTGCCGAAGGGGCAGGAGAAAGTGGTCTTCGCCTGGTCCTCCAGTGTAATAGGGATCTGGAAGTACCCGGACATCCCATCCAGGAAACAGTAGAACTCGTGCCCCGCCAGTCTCTCCAGCATCTGATCAATGAATGGTAGCGGGAAGTGGTCCTTTCGAGTGGCGTCGTTGAGACGCCGGTAATCAATGCAGACACGGTACCCAGTCACCGTGTGCATCGGGATCAGCTCATTCTTCTCGTTAGGCACCACAGTTATTCCACCCTTTTTAGGGACCACCTGGGTGGGACTGACCCACTCGCTGTCGGAAATGGCGAAGATGATCCCCGCGTCCAGCAGCTTCACGATCTCTGCCCGAACCACAGCCTCCAGGTTCGGTGTCAGTCTCCTCTGCGGCTGTCTCACTGGCCGCATCTCATCCTCCATCAGTATCCGGTGGGAGCAGAAAGAAGGGCTGATCCCCCGGATGTCTGTGATCTTCCATGCGAGGGCTCGCTCATACCGCTTCAGCAAGGTCACCAGTCTGGTCTTCTGCTCGGGTGTGAGGGTCGAGCTGATGATGACTGGCAGCTTATTCCCCTCCCGGAGAAATGCATACTCCAAATGAGTAGGGAGGGGCTTAAGCTCCAGCTCTGGTGGTTCCTCCAAGGAAGTAGCGATGCGGGTGGAGGATGAGATCGGTTTAAACAGTCTGTCGCCCTCCAAGAAGGGGCCACTCTCCAACTCGGCCAACTGCTCCGCCAGCTGCGGCTCCTGCGATGCCTGCTCACCTAGCAAAATACAACACTCAAGAACGTCGTCAGTACCCGCACTCGTGATAGCGAGTGCGGTCTCATAATCAGCAAGCATATCACAGTAATCTATGTCATCATGCAAATGAGGGTGTTTCCCATTCTCAGACACAGAAAAAGTAGCATGTTCATCACCAGCACGCAGAATCAATTTACCACTATGCACATCAATAAGCGCCTTGGCGGTGGCGAGAAACGGTCTACCTAAAATCAAAGGTACATCCACATCCTCATTTATATCCAAAATAACAAAGTCAACAGGATATGTGAATGCACCCACATTAACAAGCAAGTCCTCAATGATACCCCTAGGATGCACGATAGAACGATCAACTAACTGAATGCTCATCCTAGTAGTTCTAGGTTCACCTAGGCCTAGCTTCTTAAACAATTTATAAGGCATGACATTGATGCTAGCGCCTAGGTCCGCCAAGGACTTCCCTACATGCATGCTGCCAATAACAAGAGGGATAGTGAAACTCCCTGGGTCTTTTCGCTTCTCGGGCAGCTTGTTCTGCAGGATGGCAGAACACTCCTCGCTCAGCATCACTGTTGAAAGATCCCCAAGTTTCTTCTTGTTGGTGAGGAGGTCCTTCATGAACTTGGCATACTTGGGCATCTTCGACAGTGCCTCCACGAACGGCATGCTGATGTTGACCTGCTTCAACATTGCCATGAACTTGGCAAACTCAGTCTCCAGCCTGTCTTTATGCAGGCGAGTGGGGAGGTCCTTCATGAACTTGGCAAACTTGGCAAACTCAGTCTCTCAACATCACTGTCGAAAGATCCCCAAGTTTCTTCTTGTTGGTGAGGAGGTCCTTCATGAACTTGGCATACTTGGGCATCTTCGACAATGCCTCCACGAACGGCATGCTGATGTTGACCTGCTTCAACATTGCCATGAACTTGGCAAACTCAGTCTCCAGCCTGTCTTTATGCAGGCGAGTGGGGAAAGGAAGCTGAGGTACATGCTCCTTAACCACTGGCTGTGGCTTGGGAGCAGGCGTTGTTGTGTCTACCCCCACGTCTGCAGTATCAGCTGGAAGTGTTGAAGCAGGTAGTGGATCATCTCGACTGGGCTGGGCAGGAGCAGCTGATGTGGTCTTGCCACTCCTGGTAGTGATGGCATCAAACTGCTGGAGCTGGTGAGGATCCCGAGGATTCGGGACAGTGGTGGCAGGCAAAGTCCCCGGTGCCCTGGTGGTGTTCTGGCGGGCCAAGATGCCCACCTGGGTCTGCAGATCCTGTAAAATGGCACCCTGGTTCCTCTGGCCTGCCTCCAGTGAGGCTACACTCTGGTCCAACCTCGTGATAGTCGCCTGAGTGCTCGTCATGAATGAAGCTAGAATATTTTCCAGCTTCGTCATCTGAGTATCTGGAGCTGGAGCTGCTGCTGGCTCGGCAAGCTGGGGCTGCTGGAAGGGTTGCCCTTGCCTAGGCTGGTAGGGCTGCTGCTGTGGAACTGGCCCTTGTCGAGGATGGTAGGGCTGCTGCTGTGGAACTGGCCCCTGTCGAGCCTGGTAGGGCTGCCTCTGCTGAAAGCCACCTGCTGGTGCTGGGAAACCAGGTGGCTTAGTGGTGTTGCTGCCCCAAGAGAAGTTGGGATGCTGGCGCCACCCCTCATTATATGTGGTGCTGAACGGGTCGAGGCGCCGAGCATTGGCGATGAAGTACAACTGCTCCTGGGGGGTAGTAGACTCCCTCATAGCCTGGCAGTCTTCCACTAAGTGATTCGAGCTCTCACACCACTGACATTGAGCAACTGGAGGTGTAGCCAAACCTCTGCCCGGAATAAGACTGTTGGGCTGCTTCAATGTCTGCACTAGCTCAGCTACCTGCTGCTCGAGCCAGGATCTGGTCTCCATGGCGTGCACACCACAGTCCCTGGAATGTCTGCCTCTGCTGCTCTGCCCCCAGGAATGATCTCTGGCAGCCAATGTATTAATCATCTGGTTCAGCTCGGGTGGAGTCTTAGTGAGAACATCCCCTCCTAGGCATAGAGACTCAATCACCCTCTGGCTGTCTGGAGAGAGAGCACTGTAGAAATTCCCCACTATGAATGCATCACTAAAGCCATGGTGGGGACACTGCCAGAAATATCCCATGTACCGCTCCCATGCATCACGAAGTGACTCATCTGGCTCCTGGCGGAAGTGAGTGATCTCCCGCTGAATCTCTGTAGTCTTCGATGCCGGATAGTACCTATGCACGAATTTGTCAGCCAGATCGTCCCAAGAGGTGATGGATAATGGGGGCTGGGTCTCCAACCACCTCTTAGCATTCCCCGCCAGAGAATGGGGGAAAAGATGAAGGCGGATTGCATCATCCGGGACACCATTCAGCTTGAACCCGTTCGTCAGCTGCAGAAAACGGGAGAGGTGTACCCTGGCCTCCTCATCCTTCAAGCCATGGAACTGGATGGAAGATGTAATGAGCTGAATCCAGCATGGCTTGATCTCGAAGTTGTTTGCTGGGATAGGCGGATAGAGGATGACCGGGCGGATGTCAGCAATCCGCGGAGTGTAGTAGTACTCCAAGGTGGGACCCAGCTGCGGTGGATGATGAACTCCATGATCCTAGGGTATGGGGTTGTTCCCCAGTACCTGATTCACCGGGGGAGCCTGCTGAGGATTCCCCTGGTGTTGATTGTAGTCTTCCATCTCGTACTCCTCTTCAGAATCACTGCTCACGTGGCCGTCTATGCGCTCTTCCGTAGGCAGTCTAGCTCGCTGTTGTCTCCTGAGTTGGCGACAGGTGCGTTCAATCTCTGGATTCAACGCCAGTAGACCTCCCGACTGGCTACGGGTCATGCACTACCTGCACACAATCAAGCAAGCAAACCCGTGAAGGCACAAGTGGGAAAAAGCAAGAATGCGAAAAGAAAAGGCTAAATTAACAGAAATCACTTTTCTTCAACAACCTAGCCGTCCCCGGCAACGGCGCCAAAAACTTGACTCGACTCTACTGTCACTCTAGGAATTGGCCAAGTGAAACCACTTCCTAAAGCGTAGTATAGCGGGTTAGGTTTGTATGTAAACCCGGGTCCTAGATCTGATGACTACTCAGTGAATTCTTGTTATCTAGCAATGAAACTGGAATGCAAGTCTAAACTACCAAACAAACAAAGCAAGTAAACTGTTTATTCAGGTTAAAGAGGTCACCCGAATATGGTTCCCCCTAGACTGCAGTTAAGCCGGATTGTAATTACCAAGTTCAATTTCTATGACAGTTATACTGCGGATGGTTCTTAAACAGCCTGAAGTCTCGACTAAAAGTCTTCAGACCCTCTCAATCTGAATCTCTAGCGGGCGACTAACCTCCACCGGAGTAAACAGATTGAGGCCCTAAGAACAAAACCTCCACTACCGGAATGAATCCGGTACAGAATAGTGAGTTGGTTCCTCGACTAAAGTCACCAACTCCCTATCTTCAATCAAGGATACTCTATTAACCTAGGCAGATATTCTCATTCTAGGTTAAAGCAGAAACAACAGGAATTTGATCAGGATTCAATTCATTCAATCATTCAAGCCTCAATCGAATATAATCAATCATAGAATCAGTACTTGGGTTCATACAATCAAACGTAACATACAAATCTAGGGTTCTCCATACCCAGATGAATGGGAGAACTACTCCATGGAGAAGAAAGCAAAAGCAGAATCAGACGCGGAATTCATACTGTGAAGGATGGATTCCTGCTCCTGGATGTTGATCGGCACTTCTCCAAGCTCAAACTGGCCTCCAATGGTGATGAAGATCAAGCTAGGGCACTTGGAGACTCTTGTTCGTCACTTTCTCACTCTAGGAATCGATCTCTCTCGCTAAAACTCGAATCCCTTGATTTTCAGCCCTCTTTTCCATTAAAACAGCTGCCTGTCGCGATACCCGGTCGAAATACCCGGTCGGGTATTTTGGGTCTCGACCGGGTATTATCAAAACGCACGTTTCATGCCAGGGGAAAATCCCCGGTCTGCTCCAATAATCCTCGGTCGGGGATTTAAGCTTCACGACCGGGACCCCTTCTGTTTCTCAAACGCCAAAAAGGGAAATCCCCGGCCTCTTTAGAAAAATACCCGGCCGGGTATTTGTGGTCATGGCCGGGTATTTTCTTCCTCCAGCCCACTTCAATCCTCGTTTGCTCCTTTCGACCCGAATCTCGTTCCTTCGCCTCGATTCCAACGTCGGGTCCTGAAATATGACATAAACACACAACCTCGCGTGAAATCGGCTTAAAACCCGAGCTTATTCTCACCACAATTAAAGTCGCTAAGAATCTCCCCCACAAAGAGATTACTAGGGTTATCGGACTGATGCAACACAAGGTGAGGAGGCAGTGCGACTAGAGCACTGCCCTGAAGAACCTTGGTCGACGAGGTCTTGCCCGAAACTTCCTCGTCTGAACTCATGATTTTTTATCCCTTCACTTAGACCAGCTCTGATACCAAATAAAATTTGATAATACACGAAAAGTAAAGAACGCAAAACGCCAGATTTATGTGGTATCCCGTTCAATCTGAACGGGACTAATCCACGGAGAGCTAAAAGCTCTCGGAGAAAAACTAATATCAGTGTCTCACTATCTTGCTTGATCGGCTACAGAGCTCTCAAGGAGCATATAAAGGAAAACTAACCCTAACGCCTTTCCACAATAAACACGGAGCAAGGAAAAATAACATAATGCTCCATAAAGTAATTAAAATGACTAATTACAAGATAAGGGATTTCTACCATTATGTTCATTTGGGAAGGAAAAGAAAGGAAGGGAACGAAATGGAAGGAACGCATCTATTTCAAGAAATTTTCCTCCGTTTCCGAAGCTAGCAACAGTGAGCAAAAGAAAATAGGAGATAAAATCTCCTGTGCAACCTGACCCTCCGAATCGGAATGAAAACTTCCTTCTCCCAATGCTCTTCTTTTCTTTCTTTCCCTGTTTGTCATTTTTCTTTCCTTGTTTAATGAAAATAAATAAATATTAGTAAGTGAGATTACGTGAGTTCATTTTATTTGTTTATAATAAAATTAATTCTTTTCTCTTTCCTTAATTACTGGTTTTAGTATTTATCACTAACAGAAGTAGTAAGTGATCAACGTTGTTTGTTTTTTTTTATCTAACCTTTTTTTGTAAAAAGATGGGACGCTAAAAGGGCGTCCTTGCCTGGCACTTTAAATTAATCGCGATTGGGCAATGCCCAAAGTATCATACAAGATCCAGAAGTTCAGACCCGGATCAGAAATATCAAAATCATGAAAACCAAAACTAGCGATGTGCGCTTTACCGACGAGAAAATCAGCCGCCTTATTGCATTCTCTATAAATATGAGAGATCTTAATCTCCCAATCTTTTTGGAGGAGATGCCCAACCTGATCGGCAAGGTTATAAAGTCTTTCATTGTTGTGGTCCTTTGCAGTGAAGAAGAGATAAGTCGTCATAGAATCCACCTGTAGGTGAACTTTTCGATAGCCCCTGGACCACGCAAGTTGGAGCCCCTGGATCGAAGTTCGCCACAAAAGCTGCGAGGCATCTGCCAGAACCATCCCTGATGAGGCCTCCCGTGACTGCTAATGAATCAGACTGCTTAATTCTATTAGGTCCATGACATTTCCATATGTGTTTCCAGTGTGGTATTTTGTGGTTTGCATTCTCCTCGTCCTGATTTTCTTGCAGCCACTCCGCAGCTGCTGTGTAAGCAGAACTCAGGCGAAATCTTCCGTCCTTCTCCCTGTCCCACAAAG